AACACTCGGCAGCGTGCCTTGTTCGAAGGTCATCAATTTGTCCATTGCCTTGATCTCTAGCGGCTCTACTTGGAACCGCTTATGCCACTCCGCCTTTAGATCATCCCAGTTGATCTTGGTGTAGAAGTCGGCAGCTACCACCCCGTACTTGGACAAGCGATTGTCTAATCATGCTTGGCATGCGCCCCTCGACTGGGAGTATAAGTACGCGTGATGCTTGTCCTCGCTGACATGGTGTAGTTGCAACTTGAGCTCGAACTTGCGGAACCACGAAATCGGGTCCGTCTTCGTCGAATTGCAGAAGATCTCCTGACCATCGAACTTTGGAGTCGTCTCGCGCGGTGCCGAACTCGCGTTGGCGGCGGCAGCACAGATCCGCTGCTTCACGTCATTGACTTCCTTCTTCATCGGCAGCCCTTGCTGCTGCCTCGTCTTGCTGGCGCTGCTGTTCGATTGCCAACAGACGTGCCTTCTCGGCATCCTCTGCCTTCTTTTTCTCTGCGGCTGCTACCTCTTCTGCCCGTTTCTTGGCTTCGGTAATCGAAGCCAGCATCCGGGCCTGATAGGCCTCGGCCGTTTCCCCGGACTTCTGATCCATGCCGGCTGTTTGTAAGCGCGTGAGCATCGACCAGGCCGGAGGACTGCTGACGTGGCACTCTGTTACATGCTGCGCCTGCACACGAGGGCCATTTTCCAGGCCCTGCGTCCCTCAGGCTGAAAGCCTGAAAACCAGGGCCTACAGGCCCCGTGACTGTTCAGCCCGAAAGCCTGAAAACAGTGGCCTACAGTCCCTGTGTCGTTTCAGACTAAAAATGGCAATAGCCTTTTTAGCCTGAAACGAAGGGCCATTTTCGGTCGTTCATCAGAACGACCGGCCCTGAAACTCAGGCACCGAACCAGGGTTTCGGGAACAGGCTATTCTTAGCCTGTTCCCCACGCCAGCCTCAGCAGCTGCTGCAGCGCCAGCCCCTGGCACACTTCGGCATTGGCAAGAGCAGCCTCCTCGGCCTGGCTCGCCCTTCAGGCAGTCAGGAGGCAGGCCGAGGTAGTACATAGGGACTTCCCATGCACTTCACGGGTAGGCAGGAGGCAGTAGTCTTCAGGATTCGGTCGCAGCACTCTGGAGAGAGCGCTGCAGGAGTAGTAGTAGCGTTAGCCTTTAGTCTTCAGCGCTGGGCGCAGTAGGTAGCTGTAGTCTCCAGCGCTGGGCGCGATAGCTAGGATAGCACTAGAGAGAGAGAGAGATTGGGCGGAGGCCAGAGGTACTTACCTGCAGCGCTGTTGCTCCAGCTTCGTCTTCGAGGTACCTGCAGCACAGCGCCAACATCACAGGTTAGTTCCTGGCTCGTAACAGAGAAAGAGAGTTCTTCTTCTTCCTCTTCTCAGTCCACCATCTCCCTCTCACCCTCTCATCATCTGACTTCACGGCATTTGCAGACTACGAGAGAAGAGAGAAAGAGCTTGGTGACATTGGATCCAGACTCGACTTTTGGGCGTCAGACATTACGACAAGGGATTATTTGGGACTTGTGACAAAGACTTGGTGTTGACAACATTCCCATCTCTCTCCCTCCTTTCGTCTGATCCCCTCCTCTTCGTCTGTGTATGTCTGGACCTGGCGCTTTCTTCCTGTGTACAGCGCCAGGCTCCTTCACACCTGGTGATGGATACGATGTATGTTTGGTCTGCGTTCAAACATTGATTGGGCTAGTCATTAGCATTCTAGCATTCTGCTTCGCTATCTGATACTATGAGAATGAGGTCAGTCCCGGTCAGGTCAGGATTTGTATCTAAGTCTTCCCTGCGCTATTCAGCACCATTTTGTATGTATTAGAATGGACATTGCTTGTTGAGATTCTACTTGCACTGCATTGTCCATTCAGTCCTTTTCATCACATTGCGGGTCCTCGGTTTCTATGGACATCGCCCAACTGGGCATGTAACACACTCCCTGCTGCTGACGTGGCACGGCTGTTGGCTGATGTGTCCTGCTGATGTGGCCTGCTGACGTGGCAACTCACCAATGCCGCCGCAGGGGGTACCCGGAGACAGATAGAGAAGACCAGAGGGGGCAACAACATAGGTGGGGAGGGGTGGGTGGGATAAATCGCCCAGATAAGGAGCCACTAATCAAAAAGAAAAGTCTGAACTTTGCAAAAAAATCAAGAGAAAAAACAAAAAAAAAACTCGTTTGCGAGTTTGTAGGCCTCCCAATTCCCCCTGAAGTACGAAATTACCAATGAGGAAAAATTTTCGAACTTTCAGACTGCAAATGATTTTTCGATAAAAGAATTCCAAAAAAAAATAAAAAATATTCGGAATTACTCAAATGAGAGTACGCGCAGTTTGGAAAATGGCAACTGCAAGAGGGACTTCCCGTACCGTTTTCCAAAAAAAACGAATTTCAGAAAATATATATATATATATCGTTTGTTGTCCTCTTCTCCCTCTCTGCCTACGGTTTACCGGGCAGTTCTATTTGACGATATATATATATATTCCGGATTTCCAAATAACGGGAAATCGCAAAAGGAAATCAAAATTTTCGAAAGAAAGATATTCCCGATTTCCAACAACGAAATTTCGAATTCTCAGAAGAGAAATGAAAACGGGAATTTCAGGTGTTGCGCTATTGCGATTTTCCACAACCGAAATAGCGGGAAAACAAAATCCAAGAAAATAAAAAAAATTTGATTTTCGGCAGTTAGGTCAAAATCGCGATTTTGGGAGCTAATTAGTGTGCGCTAATCAATCAATCAATCAATCAAGACTAATCAACTAATTAGTCCCCGCACACGTGTCAGATCAGGTTGTCCTGATTCACGTGCGGTGTTCCAATACCAACTGTTACATGCCCAGTTGGGCAATGTATGTATAGCCAAGGATCCGCAATGTGATAAAAAGGACTGAATGGACAATGCGATGTTAGTGGAATCTCAGCAAGCAATGTACATCCTGATACATACAAAATGGCACCTTGTAGCGCAGTGGAAGACTTAGGTATAAGCCCTGACCTGACCGGGACTGACCTCTCTCACGTAGTACCAGACAGCGTAGCGGAATACTAGAATACCAAGGACTTGCCCAATCAATGTCGCAATCCAGACCAAACATACACCATCCTCATCATAAGGTGTGAAGGGGCCTGGCGCTACACACAGGAAGAATGCGCCAGGTCCAGACCATACACAGACGAAGAGGACGGGATCAGATGAAGAAGAGGGGGGAGATGGGAATGTCGTCAACACCAAGTCTTCGGTACAAGTCCCAGATAATCCCTCGTCAAATGTCTGAAGCCCAATGTCGAGTCTGGATCCAAATGTCACCAATCCCTCTCTCTCGTAGTCTGCTGATGCAGTGAAGTCAGGTAGCGAGAGGGTGAGGGGGAGATGGTGGACTGAGAAGAGGAAGAAGAAGAACTCTCTCTCTCTCTCTCTCTCTCTCTCT